ATATAGAAGAGTTGAGCGCCAACTATTTTTAGAAAAAAAAAGAGAAAAATATAAAAGAAAGTTAATAAATGAATAAAATTAAAATAAAAATAATTATTTGAAGAAAAATAACAAACATGTGACGTTTATAATGTTAAATGATCATTGTTCTTCTTTAAATAGATTATAGTATAAATCTAGCAGGAATCTAACACCAAAATATTAAGATCTTTGAATCTTCCGCTCTAAACTCAAATGAAACTTGTGCTATTTATATTTTTTTGTCAATTTCCCAGGACGGAGCTTATTGCCCGAACACTAGAGTAGTTACATCTATTTGCAAACAAACAATTTGTCTGTCTCAAATATTCTAGCGCGCTATCTCAGCCGCCGCCGTCCACGGAATAATATTTTACACCGCAACAATGCTTCGCCTCATTCGCCGCTACATATTTCGCTGAAAACTGAGAAACGTTGAGCACAATGTATTTTACAAGTGCACAAGAACGGCCATCCAGAAGGAAAGAAGTATTTATTCATAGCGCCTACGCTCTGGTAACTCGCGAACTATTCCTAGCTGAATTTTGAAATATTAAATCATAGTGGGATACTAACGAGAAATAAAAAAACACTATAGAATATACAAAATAGGAAAATCAACTACACAAGCAAATAGAAAGCTCTTGGAAATAGTCGTTTTGGTATAAAACCAGATTTTTTTAAAAAACTGTGTTAGAGCACTTTCATGAATTTTCTTTTTTAGTTTTCATATGCGGAGTCAGTTTTACTACAGTTATTTTTGGTATTATTGATTGCACAACAATTATGTTCTAAACTTCTTCTTCTCGTAGCACTACAACCCGGAGTGGGTCTTGGCTGACTGCACAATTTGCTTCCACCTTGAACGGTCGTCATTAAAAGTTGGGTCAGTGGGTAACCCCATTGTTCATAGATCTGACCATATATAGTCTCTCCATCGCATTCGTGGACGTCCTAATGTCCTATCTTCCTGTGGGGGCTTCCTCTAATATTAACTTGGCAGCTCTTGGACTATTCGCTCGCTCTATACATCTGCTTGACCTCAGAATTTGTTTCCATTCGGTATTGGTTGCTATTAATGTTATGATAAGGCCTAAAGTTCTTCTAAGAGGTTTCCTCTTAAAACGTCTTCTTGTCTTTCAGTTTTCTTTGGTCAGGTCCACGTCTCACACCCATACATGAGCACCGGTCTAATCACCGTTTTATATAATCTTATCTTTGATGTTCGTATTAGGCTTTTAGATTTAATAATATTGTGGAAAACTGTACATACATCTGTTTGCTGCCTGGATCTTCCTTTAATCTCTTCCTCGATATCGTTATCTGCAGTGATTGTTGCTCCGAGATACTTAAAATCTCTCCACTCTTTCAAAGTTATTATGGGTCTATTGTAACATTTTGCCCTATTCAGCGTCTCGTCCCGTTTGTCTGTTGATGCACATGTATTTGGTTTTTTCTTCATTTACCCTTTATACCAGTTTTCTTTGCCTCTACCCCTCCAATTTATTAAAAGTCTCGTTCACATTGGTGACTGTGTTTCCCACAATGTCATTATCATCTGCGTATGCTAGTAGTAATTTTGGTCCATTTACTGTCAGTAATTCTGTTTTAAGTTGTGCTGCTCTTACTACTTTTTCTAGGATGATATTAAAAAGTAAGGTGACAGCGCATCTCTCTGTTTCAGGCCACTGCTTATTTCTGAAGATTCTGAGAGTTTGTTACCTATCCGTACTCTGGATATACAAGCTATTCACACATAATTTAACAACTGGATAAGTTTTTTGAAACTGAAAGTTCTGTTATTGTATTCCACGTCTGATTCCTTTTTAATGCTGTCGTACGCTTGCCGGAAATCTATGAAGAGATTATGGATAGTTCTATTGAATTCCCATCCTTTTTCAAGCAGCTGTCTTGGAATAAAGATCTGATCTGATCTTTCAAGCAGCTGTCTTGGAGTAAAGATTTGATCTATGGTCGATTTATGTTTTCTGAAGCCGGTTTGATTATTCCACCATGAAATTTTCTACAAAGGTGTCAGCCTACTGACAAAACATGTTTTAAGCCAAACAAATAAAAGACATAATTTTAAGTCACCTTCGCTTCTTTTACAATTTGTCTTTTTTGTTGAATATTTTGTCTGGATTCCAGATTTTTTAACTTATTTACGATCTTATATATACTTATACGTAATATAATTTCTGGGTAAGATCAAAACAAGGGTCGAGGATATCATAACAAAAATTGCCAAACTCAAATGGAACTTCGCAGGTCACATTGCTATGCAAAAAGACCAACTTTGGAATGCAACAATATAACGTTGTAATCCCCACATAGGTCGACGACCAAGAGGAAGACCATAGATGAGAAGGGTAGATGACATAAAATGAGCAGCCTGAACAAATTGGAAGTATGTTGCTCAGGATAGAGATCGATGAAGAAGTTGGGAGAGGTCTATGTCCAAAAATGGACGACAGAAGTCTAAGAAGAAGAAGTAATATAATTTTGAATAAGTACATAGTTTATGTATCTACAGGTAACTCGCATGAAAATGCCATATGACATCGTGCTGTTGTTTCATAATTTTACCAATTTGTGTTTTAAGCACACAAATATATGTGTGCTTGGGATGTACCTATAAAAAAATAGAATAAGTACTTAGTAAAATAAAATAAATAAATGCATAAATAAATGACTAAATAACTCATTATCATCATTAGCTCGACAAACCTTGTTTTTAAAAATTATATTTTTTTGGTATTCCATTCTACTCCTTCCTTTCCACATGTCCTATCCAGTCTATACGTCCAATATTTGTAAATGTTTTACTGTCACGTTCTACACCTAAAACGTTCTCACTAAAACTAGCAACATGGAACACCAATGGCATAAACTCAACACAGCCAAGTATTTAAAAATATTTTTAACTGCAAATAAAATTGATATAATGCTTATTTTCAATACGCACTTTATAGGTAAAAGTAACTGGAAAATGGCAAACTATCAATTATATACCACAAATCATCCTGATAATACTGCACACGGAGCTTTCCGCCATAATTATCAAAATCAGTATAAAACATTACGAACTACAGGCAACTAAAATACTGCACCTAGGCCACAAAAATAGTAATTGAAAAAGTTTGTGTAGTGGGAAGACTGGAGTGGACCAATTACTATATCATCATTATTCTCCCCTCCCAAGCACACAATAAAAACAAATCAATTTTCTGAATAGTTTTAAATCACTTGGATCAAGGTTTCTAGCCGGTGGTGATTACAATGCGAAACATCCATTTTTGGGGGCTCATCAGATAATAAATATTAGTAACTTCAAAAGTTATTCTACAGAAGAACCTACATATTGGCCAACAGACAGAAGAAAACTTCCAGATCTCCTTGTTTTCTGTATAACCAAAGGTATAGCAGATAATCACCTAACAACGAAATCATGCTTTGACTTAACATCCGATCACTCACCAGTATTTCTCTCTCTCTCTCTCTCTCTCTCTCTCTCTCTCCTCTCTCTCTCTCTCTCTCTCTCTCCTCTCTCTCTCGGTTAACTAAATTTTAGTTAACCGGCTTAACCAGCTGGTTATTAAATTTCCTTCCAATTAATATCACTTGCCTCTCGTTGATCAAAATGTTAAGCCTGGTTTTTATTTTTTTTTCTTTCGCCAATCCAGTATTTTATCTTTATTACCAAAAATAACCTTATAACCTTAAGTTATATGTCTGTCAGAATTGCGTGACATTTGGTAGATGACGTTTAATGCACAGGCGCAGATTTCTCCACATTTCCCGTCGGCTTTTGGGGGACACTGGGTTTTTAACCTCACTTCTTGCGATTTGTGGAATGGCGAATATGTGGAACTGCCTGTTATTTCAGTGCGATATTCCGATTTTTTTCTAAGCTATATACTTTGTCGCAATAGTTCCATTTCTTTTTTAACAGGTTGTGCCTAGCAGAGACATGTAATACAAGATAGACTGATCCTTGCAATACCAGCCCGTTTCCCCCGTGCGATGGAGAAAACTGACGCATTCCAGTCCATGCATCTCTTTTTAATTTGCCAGGTTTATCGACCACTTGCCTAAATGACCAATGAGAAGGTCAAATGAGAAGGACCAATAACGTGGTCGATAAATCCGGCCCATTAGACAGAGATGCAGGGATTGCTTTGCGTCAGTTTTCTCGGTCATACTGGCATTTCAGCAGTCAGTTTATCTTTTCATTTGGGTCATAGATATGCTGGTGTTCTGTCTGATCTCTTACACCCAAAGAAGATAATATATGTAGTAAAAAATTTGGTCTCACAATAATCCAAAACAAGAAAAAAATATTCGACTGATTACTGATATGTTAAGCTGAACGAGATTACCTATCTAGGTGTTAATATATAATAGAGCAGACGTTAAGATTGCGAAATAAAAGTCCTAATTACCAAGAAAACCAAAAGGTGCCATAACAATGTTAATGAAAATATAATTTTTGTATTGGAATTTATTCTTATAGGACTCTAAATTATAACTTGTCTTCTATGATTCAAGGCCTAATGAGTTAAAAATATAGAATATAAAACGGTTGAAGAAGTTTAAAAATCTTTATTTAATTGTTCATGTAAAAAAATAACCTTAAAAATAGATTATTAACTCTATTCCTTTTTTGCAGATGGAGCTATCATATAGTCACCACCATCAAATCTAACATGACAGTATAATGGCAACTTTCCACCAAAACCCAGAAGAGGGTCGCCCGCCCGATTCCCCTTCGTCCGCCACGGCACTGAAACTGTTAAACCGGAAGTCATGCTCCAAGTCTCCATGGCACACTAACCCGAGCGACAAACATCCCCCGTATCGTTGTTCCAACTCCAATCCAGTGCCCTCGAAACTTCGATAACAACGCATTCTTTGAAGTGGAGACGAGGCTCGTGGAGGATCTCAACAAGAATGTTCATGTTACTGTAAAGAAGTGTAATAGAATGGAAAAAAGTAGTTTAAAACAAAGTTTTCCGAAATTACTTTGTTTGAAAAGGTCGCCTGTGCTTTTTAGCCGAAGGTGAGTGAATGTATTAGATTTAAATCTGTTTTAACTTTAGCTTGTTTACTTAAACAAAAATTTCTTATTATGTTAAAACTAGTACATCAAATATTGACCAGTCGTCAAAAATTTGACCTCTAAAAATTATACGAACAAGGAAATTTCGATTTTGAGTTTTGGTAACAAAGAATGAGGCATTTAAAAATATGCATAAAAAACGCGGAATTTAAAACTTATATATTACCAACGATTGGAATTCATGGAAAGTATCTTAACAAATATTAATACGAATTATTGGATGAAAGGCCCGTTAAGATAGGCCCAATTCTTCGCCAACATCAAATCTTATGTTCAAACCTCCCTCGGAAACATTCATCTTCACGGCAGAACTTTATGTCATATACCAGCCGCTTAAATAGTTAAATAATTGAAACATTCCACGAGCTCTTATTTTTACCAGTTTGTCTTAGCTCTATCGCCACCAAAAAACATCTATATTCCAAACACCCCACAGAAAAGAAAATTGAATCTTGAACGTCAAGTTGCCCAGGAAACAAATAAGCTTATAAAATTTATATGAATCCTGTCACACATTGTCATCGAGGGTAATGAAGCAGCAGATAAAAGTGCCCTGAGTGCAGCAACGAGTAAGGATAGTGAAATAGTAAGTGAATGCTTACATGTGATTTCAAGTCGTGGCTCAAGTCGAAAGTGTTATGGACAAGTGGTTATGGAAACGCAATTGGTGCCAATCTTCGATCTATCAAAAATGACATAATACTGTGGTGCCGAAGAATTTTGTTTTTCGTCTTTTATGAGAAAAGGTGGTCCAAATGTTCGAAATATACCTCGGTCCTAGAAGGTGAGCAGAATCGCCTTTCAGCCTCGGTTATGCAAGATTCCTCCAGCCTGCTCTCGATAATAGAGGCTTCGAATAGAGTATTTATTTAGCTACATAGCAGATACAAATATTTGATGGATTCGAATAAAAACACTGAAAACTTTGTTTTCAAACTTCCACAAAATTTATTTTAAAACTTATCACTACAGCTGTTTCGGCTGATTGCCTTTCTCAAGTGATCTATTTTTGCTTGGGTTTACAAATTTATAGTCTCTAATGAAATAGATTGAGGAGGGGAGAACTGTTTGTCTCAAGTTGGGTCATTCAGAATTATATCTGTGTTTTTAATTTGTTGATTTCCATAGATTCTAACAAAGATAGCTTAAGGCCTTTATTTTGAGTGTGAAGAATTTTAAATTTGTCATTAAAAGAATGATTATGATCTAGAAGGTGAAGTGCGTATGTCGAATCTGTTTTTCTATTCTTGAAAGCCCTTTTATGTTCTGTTATTCGTTTATCAAAGTTTCTACCAGTTTGACCGATGTAAGTTTTTGGGCAGTCGCCACATTGAAGTTTGTACACACCACTATTTTTTTTGTTTTGGCTCTTGTTATTTTTAATATATTTGCCTAGGTTGTGTATTTGTTCGGAAAGCTGGTGTTATTCCTTTCTTTTTTTTTGTGTTTGGCAATTTTTGTTGTTATTTTGCCTGTATATGTAATCGAGCAGAAGCTACTGGGTTTTTTCTCTGGTGGTGGAAATACTAATTCCAGGGCTTTCTTGTGTAGTTTTTAATTTAACATTTTATTAATTGTTTGTTCGTTGTATTCGTTGTTTACTGCTATTTGCTTAATTATATTTAATTCTTTCTCCAAGCTGTATTATGACATCGGAATTTCTGTTAATCTATGTAACATACTATGATAAGCTGCCAGTTTATGTTGTGTTGGATGGGATGATGAATTCTGTATAGTCCGTGTCAGTATGGTAGGTTTATGAAATATGGAGAAGTCATGAAGTTTTGAAGTGATTAAATGGGCACGTTTTTCTGTAAATTTCAGTTAGAACTTTTTTTTTTTTATTTTTTTAATGGCATAGACTTTTAGTCATTCAGCCAGACTCAACATGGTAAAAAATAATTGTCTGAGTTTAGCAGTTAGAACTTGAAATATCAAGAGATTAAGTAGCGGCATCATTTTGAATTTGATAAAGAAATTTCGGCAGTGTTCTAGATAATTACCTCCTGCTAAAATCCTGACTTTTTTCTTTTGCATTCTAAAAATTTGAAGTGCGTTTGTTGAATTGCTCCATATGATTACACATAGTAGTTTAGGTGAGAGTGGAAAAAAGAAAAATATGTCATTTTTAATGTTTCAAAGTTGATAACCCTTGCGCCAAAGTTGGCGAATAAGAAATAATGAACTTGATAGCTTTTTCTTAAGTTGTGAGATATGAGCCGACCAGTTGAGTCGATTATCTAAGGTTATTCCCAGTAGTTTAACAGTCTCTTTATTATCTAGATCATTGTGTAAACTACTTGCAGATATAACCAAAATTTGCCTTTTATCGGAGTTAAAGTTTAGTTCTTTTTCAGCAAACCATGAGCTATATTTAGTAGGTAGTTCCTCATGAGACATTTTTAAATCATCATTATTTTTTTCTGATTTAACACATCGTATCATCTGCGAATTGTATTATTTTGTACGGAGATATAAATTTAAGCAAATCGTTGACATAAATAATAAACAAAAGAGGTCCTAAGACCGAACTTTGTGGGACTCCATGTTTTACGGATAGAAAATCGGAGAGATGACCTTTAGACACTACCTCCTGGTGTCTGCCACATAGATAAGAAATTATAAGCTTAAGAGGGATACCTCTGATTCCATAGTAATTTAATTTGTGGAGCAAAATGTCATGTGACACGCTATCAAAAGCCTTCAACAAGTCGCAAAGAGAAATTGCTATGGGATTGCCGCGTTTAAGCCTCTCAATCACCTCGCTCACAACATTAAATACCTCGTTCGTCGTAGAACGAGCACTTCTGAATCCATATTGCGAGTTGCTTAAATAATTATTTGACTCAAAATAGAAATAATTTGATAACATTTTCAATCACTTTGCCAGAAGTAAAAACAATACATATGGGTCTGTGTAATTGCCAGTTTTTGAGGAATCACCTTTTTTGTAGATTGGAAGTACTTTTGAATATTTTAGTACTTCTGGAAATACTCCAGTTGATAGAATTAAATTAATAACCTAAGTGAAAGGTGTTAAAACTACTTGGTAAGTTTCGTTTAAAATTTTGGTATTAATTTCATGAACGACCCTATAATCAGAAACACTAAGAGACTTTATTATCAATTTATTAAATACCTACAACTATTTATTACGTTCCTACATTTAAATACCGAGCCCCGAATTTATCTTCTTACTGACTAACTTCTTCAATAAAAACTCCGTTAATTATACAGATTGAACGAAATAAATTCGGAACATAGGAATATAATGTATTTCGGCTCAATTCTGCTGTAGGTGGTTGGCCAACAAAATATTGTCAAATATTTATATTATAAAAATCCAATACTTCAGTGGGCTGCTGGATTCTGAACTCATAAAAATTGAAAGCTACACATAAATCTACGATTTATGCTGTCAAACCAGTTATAGTCCAGGAAATGAAGCATTTCACCTCGCAATTATTTCGTGCTCCCTGGATTGACTTGAAATTTAACAGAGGGTAGGTAATAGCCTAAGGATCAAAATCTATATCGAACCAAAGTGCGCCAAAGCCTAGGGGGTGGTTGCCACCCCATCTCCGGGGTGAAATTTTTTTTTACGTTTTAACTACAGGTTTCGATTAAAAAAGTGATTCTAAACAAAAAATGTGCTATACATTTTTTTTATAAAATGATATTTTTCAAGTTATTCGCGATTGAAAGTAATAACTTTTAGACGAAAAAATCCACGTTTTTAATCGATTTTTCGCGAATAATTCGAAAATGGTGCATTTTATCAAAAAAATTGTAGAGAACAAATTTGTAGCTTTTAAAAAGACAAATACAATTCATTTTTTAAAATGTTTTTGGGATATAACAGGAACCGAAATACGGCCTATCAATGTTCAGCGGTTTTCTTCAAATGCCAAATTTGAAAGATTCAAAATCAAATATCGGGAAAATGATGCATTTTTGGAAGAAAACTCACAAAACCTTTTTTAAAGAGCATAAATAGACCTATCATAAAAAAGACTCTAGCTGAAAAATTGAGTGAGTTATGATGAAAATAAGGTCAATACCTCATTTTTTACGAAAAAATCGATGAAAACAACCCCCTAACCACCCCCATAATTAAAATCGATCTTCACCCTTCTGAAATTCCCTTTGTACATGTATTGTTAATATGTCCAAGAAGTTTGACCCATTTAAAATGCTTTGTGTTAGAAAAAGTACAGCTTAAAGCGAGAAACGATTTACAATTTCATATTTTTTACCCTTCTTTTTTTAAATATGCCCGAAAATACTGAATATATGAAAAAAATACAAATTACCAAATTGTAGCTTTTTTAATGATTAAAATTATCCTTCATTTAGATTTGTTGTACAATGAATATTTGGCAAGATATAGCCGTTTAAAGCATCGATTTACGATCAAGCACCATCTTTTTCGATCCCTTTAAACTCACCCCATTTAAAAACCAAGGGTTCCAAAAAGATTTAATTCACAGATTCTTGTAGCTCTTAAAAACCTCTACAAATCGTTTTTGAAGAAACACTCTATCGTTAAAAATTAAAGGAAATACGTTAAAAAAAACCAGTGAATTTTTTTCCTGAAAATTCTATTAGTATAGTACAGTACATTTCGGAGCATAATAATCTACAAAACCGGTATATTAGCTAGTGGGGCGTTATACATTCGAAATTTTAAGCGTTCTTATTTTGAAATCCCATACAACAGAATAAAACATCTGCTCATATGTCTATGGCTTGGCAATGAAAATATTAGAGCAACAGATTGGGGATGGTATTCCAAAGATGGTTTGTTATTACCCGTACGCATGAACAAACAACCTGCACTCGATGAACTTTTGAAAATTATTTTTTGGCAATGCAAAAAAGGATGCGGTGTTTCATGTGGGTGCAGAAAAGTTGGTTTATACTGTAACTCTACTTGTTCTGGGTGCTCAGGTGAAGGGTGCAATAATAGTCCACCAATAATTGAAGATGAGGATGACATAGATCACGATGAAGATGTAATTGATGACGAATAAAATTAATATTACAATTGTTTTACCTATAAATGTAAATATTTTCAACTATTTATGTAAATGTATAAGAATATATGGTGCCTTTTTATGTTGATAAATTTTTTTGTATTTAATTCTACTTTTTTCAATTTATATCTTATAAATTAGTTTATAAAAACTGCAATGTTGTAAAGGGTGATTTTCAAAAGTTGAAAAGTTGCAAAATTTTGGCAAAAAATTGTTTTCACCTATAGCACTCATAACAATTGATTTTTAAGGGTTGAAAATGTATGAATTTGTATTTTAAAGTATAAAAAAATCACTATTTAACTAATCCAAACCAAATTTCACTCATCTTAAGATTTATAATATTATTTTACAATTTTTGAAAATTAGAAGTAGTTTTCACCCCTAAGAACAATCAGGTTTCATCCGCATGACATAAACTATAAAGCAGAGGGTGAGTTGAGCTTAATTCCAAATTTTTATGCAAATCGTTCCAAGGTGAAATCATTTTCTCGCATTACTAATTTTTTTATATTAATCTCTAATAAGGGTCGCTTTTTAAGGGTTGAAATATGATGGAACTTTATTCAAAAGCACGAAACTATCATTATTTAATTAATTCAAACCAAATTTTACCCATATTCAGGTTTAATATGTTATTTTATAATTTTTGACAATTACGGGTAGTTTTCACCCCTTAGAACAATCAGGGTTCGTCGACATGACATAAACTATAAAGCAGCGGGTGAATTGAGCTTAAATCCAAATTTTTATCCAAATCGATCCAAGGCGAAATCATTTTTTTATAATTGGTAATTTTTTTACATTAATCTCTAACAAGGGTTGCTTTTTAAGGGTTGAAATATGATGGAACTCTATTCAAAAGTATAAAATAATCATTATTTAACTAATTCAAACCAAATCTTACCCATATTCAGGTTTAATATGTTATTTTATAATTTTTGACAATTAGGGGTAGTTTTCACCCCTAAAACCCTTCAACGCACTTCGGTTCGATATAGATTTTGATCCTTGGGCTATCACCTACCTTTTGTTAAAATTTCAAATGGATACATGCAGGACGAAAAAATTGCGAGGTTTTAACTATTTTCGAGCTTTATTTCCTGAACTATAATCGTTTCCTTAGACAAACCCGTCTTATGCAAACAACATTGTTGTGAGACAGATAGTTGAACGATATTTTATACAATGTCTATACCCAGGTATGGATTTATTTTTGTCCGAGTTTTATATTGGTCCACTATTTCAAATGCAGTTCAAACACACATGTATTAAATTGTATGTTCCGTTTTAATTTGGTTCAATCTGTATATGAAAATACAGCTATTCGAGAGTTCAGGAGAATCCCTCTGATAATTCTAGGCCGGGTCATCACTCGACCGGTTTCTCTGGAAACTTCGAACAGCCGTTTCAGGTATATGTCTGCCAGCTGATCGAAAGATCTCATCCATTCTACAACATATTTAGTAAATAAACAACATGTTTACAGGTTTATTTTAATATGACTAATTTTTACGTAACAATAATTTCAATTATAATTAAAGAAGACATCGACATTCATAGTGGAAAGAGATGTAATTAAATTCTCTGCAATTGTAGTAAAAAATTGATTTATTTCGTCTCGACGTAGATCAGGTTCTACCGAACTAGATCTTGTGTTGTTTCTTTCGAAATTTACTATTTTCCAGCAGTCTCTGTAGTTATTATTGGAATTAGTAATAAAATTACAGTAAGCTGACTTGTTAGCAATTTGTAATTGCTGACTATCTTCAATTTTTTGTTGTTTATATACTTTGAACCAAAACGGGATCCTTAGTGGAATCTGCAATGTATTTAATATAAAACGGATTAGATCTTAAGACTTAATTCATTATTAAACCATTACACGGGTATTTGATTAGCAGTTTGTCGTACTTTTTTTAGTGGAAAATGCTTTAATATTAAATTGTGTAAGTTTCGGTAAGAAAGACTGTTAAAAAATCAGTATCATTATTAATATCATAGAGAAAGTCTATATTTGTACTAGCTAGCACACGTTTAAGCTTCTGTAAATCAGAAGAAGTAATAAACCATTGAAATGTTTGATTAGTGTCAACAACTTTATGCTCAGAGTCAATAAATAAAAATTGAGCTAGAGGGTCAGAAAAACAAGGTTAAAATACGCCAACTCTGTAGGTATTTACAGAAAAATTTGTCATAATGTTGTCGATCGAACTACTGGACTTGGATGTGATTCTATTATCGGTTATAGTTACTTTTAGACCAAACGACGTTAATAGATATTGAATATCAAAAAAAGGGTCAAATTCTATTTTAAAATTTATATTAAAATCACCAAGTATGATCAATTTGTCTGCTTTAATAGGCAAGGACGTTATGGCATTCTCAAAATTCACCAAAAACAAGTCAAATACATCATCCTTACCCGATCTGTATACAGAGATTGTTTGGACAGTTCCCGATATTCCACAGCACAGGTATTTGTCTCTGCCTTTCCAAATCTGTAATGGTATGCCCTGAAGCAACCATGTCCTGGGAGCATCTGCATCAGGAAGCAATCCAAATGGCGCTGCTCGCAGTCCATCCATCGCGATAATGCTCGCAGATTAGGAATCAACGACCTCACTGAATCGTCCACTGCGTCCCCCTTCTCATCTCATCCCATTCCTCTTGTTACACCAATATGGATATCTTATGAGATGAGGGACATAGACATCTTTACCAGAAACTTCTAGAAAAGAATAGAATTCGTAGACCATGGATAAGTTAACGAAGAAGCTTTGGAAAAGTACAAACTGTTATAGAGGACATTACAGTTCCGGCTTTACACTGTTTATAATAAGGATATTTGTTTTGCGTGGAGGAGTTCTAGTTTGTTGGCTAGCTTCTGATGCAGTTTTTTTCCTAGATAGTTATGACGATCCTTAAATTTAGTTGCAGTGCATATCTGGCAGTCATCGGTAAGATATCGATTAGTTTCTTGGACGTATATCCACTATCTTCTTCGTAGAAAAGATCTGAAAAACTATAGACCCATAACGCTACTTAATGTAATATACAAACTGTTAACTAAACTACTTACAAACAGATTAGCAACTAAGTTAGATAATTACCAGTCAAGAGAGCAAGCCGGTTTTAGAAACGGATTCAGTACAAGTGACCATCTTCTTACGATAAAAATATTAAATCCCAATTTATTTGGCATTTGTAGTCTTTGAAAAAGCATTCGATAAAGTGGAAACTCATTAGGCAGTAAAGAACTCTTTACAAAATGGGAAAATAGGCTATAGCTCTACGGACTTAATTTCCAATATATATGATCAAGCAACAACATCCATTAAAATAGTTAAACAAATGGAACCTATTAAGATACTACGAGGAGTCAGGCAGGGTGACACTATATCACCCAAAACTATTCAATCAAGCTTTCGAAGACGTTATCAGGAAATTACAATGGGAAAATCGGGGTATTAACATAAATGGCCAATACTTGAATCACTTGAGATACGCAGACGACATCGTATTAATAACAGATAAAAGGGAAGAATTACAAAATATGATGGATAAATTAAACAGCGAATCAACAAAAATAGGTCTACAAATAAATTATAATAAAACGAAAATTATGACCAACCAACCAAAAGAATTAATAATTACAATTGCACAAACAACTACAGAACAAGTAAAAGAGTATGTATATTTGGGACAACTAGTTAAATTAAATAAAGAAAATCAGACCGGATAAATAAAGAGAAGGATACGGTTGGCTTGGGTATCCTTCGGAAAACTTTTCTATATACTAAAAAATAGAAAATACCCCAAATATTTAAAAACAATAGTCTTCAACCAATGTATACTTTCTGTTCTCACCTACGGTTCTCAAACTTGGACGTTTACAAAGGAAAACATGGAAAAAATAGCAAAGACCCAAAGAGCCATGGAAAGGCAAATGCTGAACATCAGACAAGAAAAGAAATACTTGGGTCCGCAACAAAACAAAAGTGACCGATGTATCAACGCAGATAGCAAAACTTAAGTGGAAGTTCGCTGGACATACCATAAGACAGAAAGACGACAGATGGAATAAGATGATTATACACTGGAGACCATATAGTTACAAACGAAAAAGAAGAAGGCCACAAATGAGATGGTCAAATGACTTAAAGAAACACGCAGGCCCGAAGTGGATACAAACTGCCTACAATAGAGAGACGTGGAAGAAGGAAGAGGAGGCCTATATCCAAAATCGGGCAGCAAGGGCTGTATAGATAGATAGATAGATGTCCACTTCCAGATTAGCCTTTGCATTTACAGCTCTTTTTTTAGATACGTTTTTGAATGACCAGTACTCTATTTCCTAATGGCAAACCATAGCTTAGCGCAGTATTGTTTTGGTTAACTTTACTTGTGATGCCACCAATGTAGAGATTTACATTGTATATAGTTTCTTACATAGTTTCTTCCTATTTATATTATTACTTGACGTTTTGATTATTTTGTATATTTTTTTATATAACTACTGAATATGTTTTCTTTGTGTGTTTTATTAACGAATACAGTTTTAAAAAGTTCGCTTATATTTTCAGGGAGAGTGAGAACAGAAATCCCTTGAAGACCTTAAACGTTAACACCTTAAGAACCGACAACATAAACTACGATCAATATTTGGAAAAAAGTGCCTGCAGTTATCTGAATAGCTCGAATTCAGAAAACGCTCAATGTGATAATTCAACAAATATATCGTCCCCTACTCACGATAATAGTAGATTAGAAAGTCGAAAGAAAAATAGAAGCAGTTTTCATCAGAATGTCGAAGAAGCTTTGAATTCCTTGTTGTGGCAACCGTACGAATATCAGGAGACTACTAGGGCTTCCCCGTCGACGTCACCTTTCAGGTAAGTAATTGGGCAATGATATTTTTCAGACAAAAGTCATCTTTAGATTATAGGTCAAAAAACTATAGTTTATAGTTAGTATAGGTGTATGTTTTAAAAAAATTGATAGTGTGTAATTTTTTTAAAATAAAATCAGCTAAGTACTCTCAGCATGTCACATGCGATTTTTGGAGCTTCTTGACAAGACATTACAACTTGTTGACAGAGGTCGCTTAGGTTTGCTTCCGCCTTCGTGACATTAAAATGCACAGCAGTTCTCTTGGTTTAACCAGTCAGCCATTGGTCCAATAAGCATTCAAATTGAGAAGTTTGGCCGGGAAGGAAGAGAAAGTGCAGAAGTTTGGCCGGGAAGAGTATGTGTCATAGGCGGCGGCAAGATGTTTTAAGGACCTCCTTTGCTCTGATGTTGGAGCTTGTTACGGTGCGAAGGACATATAGCTTGCCGAGAGTTCGGATTCTGCTCCCTATGGTTGGTATGGCCAGTTGGTGGATTAAAGCCAATGGATAGTAAGCACGCTTTTTCATGATCTTTCTCAAGATCTTTTGTTCGGTGTCTATGATGGCGTTTATTTAGCGGTTGTTCAGTCAGAAGTAAAGAACAGCCCGTATTCAATAATAGGTCTGATGCAGGTTTTAAAAGTGTGTAGGAGAGTCTTGCTCTGTGTACACCAAGATTTGCCTGATATGGCTCCCAGGAGTCCAGCCATTTTTCTCACTCTGTTTAGGATGAGATTTAGTTTAGCTATACGGAGTGGACACATGGACTCTCAGAATTACAAGTATGAGGCGTATGAAGCTTTGAGATGTGGGTTTTTTAAAGGATGCTGAAGATCTCTTGGATAGAGCACGTGACCAACAACGAGGTGCTAAGAAGAATGGGTACTGAGAGAGAACTACTAAATATTGTAAAAAACAGAAAAACGAGTTATTTAGGAAATATTTACATTACATATGAGAAAAATACAACTACCTACGACTTATAATGGAAGGGAAAGTGGAAGGAAGAAAAGGTCCAGGAAGAAGAAAATGCTCCTGGTTGAAGAATGTAAGAGACTGGACACACATTCGATACTAAGAACAGTTCAAGATAGAAAGCAATTTGCTGTATTTATAGCCAACCTATAGAAGACAGAAATTTTGGTGACAGCAGCCCTGAAAAGGGATGCAGAGGATCAGTTAATATGACTAGCCGATCTAAATACAATAAAACCGTCGCCGATTTTTATTCTGACCAATGACTTTATGCATGATAATGTTTATGAATGATGTAGAATCTCTCCCACAATTGTAACTGGTCCTTATTGTAATAAATTCAAACCAGTGATAACTAACTTTATATCTTGAACATGATTCTTTAATGTTAGTATTTTGAAATATATTCCTAAAAACTTTCAATCATCTACGAAATCTAAGGTTGTTATATCTAAGGTTATATTTTCTTGAAAACAATGTGCACTTTGTTTTAGTTTCAGAAAATGTCACTCCTTTTAATATTTACCTATAAAAAATGTGTTTCAAGCTGATATAATGTTTTTTTTTGGTATGCACCAAGTCGTCTGCATATTAATTATTTGGGAATTGTAGGTTGGTAAAAAGGTGTTTGGCACTTTGATTTTGTCGAATCAAATCGAATTTCCCTATTAATTTTAAATATGTATGTTAAATATTAAAATATTCTCCTGTCTAATCGAACCGTTATGAAAAAGTCTGCATAAATATATCACGTTTTCTTTAAGCAAGAATTTCTACATTTTACAATTACGTGTTACAAAACTGCGACCATTACATCATTTAGATTTTCTATAAATTGTATATTAAGGCCTTGAATCAATTAAGCAGTGCGGTTACCGTTATTAAGTATAGTGTTAAATAATATGTGTAATATAAATTAAGTATTGTGCGATGGACGCGACATGCCTTGCATTTTAAATAACCACTCAGTTGCATTTGTTATTTCATGGTTATGACATTAATAATAATACAAACAATAAGTCGAAGTATATAGGAATGCTCTACATAAGTTTTTATACGGAAAGGAGAAGATCAGTTCTTTTGCTTTGCCATTAAACTTGGCAAAAATGATTTTTATTTTTCTAAGTTTTTGACAGTGTCAAATCAAATATACATGTCAATTAAGTGACTTGAGATAAATTAATTCTAAGCCACACTGAGTTGTAAATAATATCATTTAAAGGCTGTTTTTAGGTTTTAAGGGTGCATTATAATTTAAACATGGTTTCTGGTATATGACTGTCATGGCTGACTCTGACGTAGTCTAATCTCCAGGTCCAAGTTTCGACCACTTTTTCCTATATTTGTTGCGATTTATCGACAATAACATAAAATAATCTAGCAGCCTTAAATCGCCCGACTCTGAAGGCCAATTCACGGTCCAAAACGTGAAACTATGTGGTCACCAAACGTTTCCTTCAATAAATCAATTGTAGGACGAGCTGTGTGACATGTTGCGCCGTCTTATTGAAACGACAGCTCCTGCACATCATGATTGTTCAATTGAGGAATGAAAAAGGCAGTTATCATGGCTCTATAGCGCCCACTATTAACGGTAACGTTCTAGCCGGCATCGTTTTTGAAGAAGTACGGTCTAACGATTCTACCAGACCATAAAGCACACCAAACAGTCAGTTTTTATCAATGTAATGGTTTCTCAACACACATTTAAGGATTATCTTAACTCCAAATAGGGCAGTTTTGTTTGAGCCAGGGATGTCAACTTCGATATGTATGCATATTTCATTAATTTTGAGAAGGCATTTGATAAAGTCCCATATGGGAAACTAATCGATATCCTAAAAACATCAGGACTTGATGGTAAGGATATAAGACTGATCTCAAACTTACATCTCCAACAAAAGCAACAGTACGATTAGTAAATGAACTGTCCGAGATCTTCACAGTCGAAAAAGAAGTTAGACAGGATTGCATATTGTCACCGGTTGGGCGAATCAGAAGATGGGATTGCTGTAAATGGCCAACTTATAAACAACAATAGATATGCAGACGATACAGTGCTGCTGGCAGATAGTGCGCAGGGGCTCCAAAGGATGATGGATAACACTTTGTAGAAGCATGTAACAAATACGGCCTAAAACTAAATTAAAAGAAGACAAAATTAATGATCATTAGTAAGAACACCGACATAAACGCCCAAATTATATTTAACGATACACTGTTAGAAAGAGTGGAAAAAAATATACTATTTGGGCTGCAATATTAAGGATACTTGGGATCACAGCTACGAAATAAAAACTCGTATTGAAAAAGAAAGAAGCTCTTTCAACAGCCTTTTCAGGAAGATTCTCTGCAACTGATCTTTAAGTATCGATATACGCATAAGAATTCTTAGATGTTACATCTGTAGTGTCCTCCTCTATGGAGTAGACAGCTGGAGCCCTACAAAAGATGCCATAAAACGATTGGAGGCATTTGAAATGTAGTACTACCGACGTATGTTGAGGGTCTCATATATACACCATCTCGAGTAACATAACTATTCTCCAGAGGCTAAGAAAAGACAAAGAAATTAATAACACCATAAAAAACAGCTTCAACTGATCTATTTCGAACTGCTGTGAATAAAATAAGATGGGTCAATGTGGTCGCCAACATCTTTAGAAGATAGGTACATTTAGAGGAAGAAAACACATCCTTTATTATAATTATTTCCAGTAATTTTACAAAGTTGCAAGTTATGTTGTATATTGTCGTTAATGGTTATTAAACTACCCTGATTTATCCTTTAACCAGAAAGCTAGAAATATGATCACATCTGGAGGTTAACTTGTCTCTGAGCTCCTTAGACGCTATGATGATGATTTCTTCGGTTAAATAGAAAATTTTTATATGGTTATTTGGATTTAAAAGTGTCTCTAAGTTATCGATGTTAGTAGTTTTAGAAGTTAATTCATCATCAGTTGGCGCTACCGCCCTTCGTGAGCCTTGACCTGCTTCAAAACATTCTTCCATCCTTCCCTATCGAGTGTTCTTCTCCAGCCCCTCACTCCAATCTCCCTCAGATCTTCCTGTACATCGTCCAGATATCTGAGTCTAGGTCGCTCCATTCTTCTTCTTCCGACCGGCCTGTTTAGCATAGTTATTTTAGTGGGATCACTCTCATCCATCCGCATAACGTGGCCCACCCACTTTAGGCGGTTTATTTTGAGTATATCTGCATCACCAAAAAGTCTATAGAGTTCTTAGAAGTTAAATACGGAAGAAAAAAACAGAAAGGTGAATTTTTGCTATCAGTTCTGATATAGAACCTGCGTTATTAATAATTTTTAATCGAAACATAAACCCCAAAATCAATAGGAATTTATATCAATAAAATAACCTAAACAGCCATAAACAAAATATTAACCTAATGGCTAAGTAAATAAGAATAGCGGTCGGACTGCCAACTGCCTAACAAATCATGTCCAAGAAATTAAGATATTTTTAAAAGTTCAAATCAATCAATCAAATCAAAATAGATATTTTATTAGTTTCAGAGATCTATCCAACTGATAGAACAGTTCCATTCTAGTCGAAATTCTATTTTACACAACATATTTTACCCACCATCCCGACGGAACAGCCATGCAGGATCGGCAATCATAGATCATCTGTTAAACATAACATTTTACAAAGTTATTCCATACTTAAAACTCAGAGCACTTCAATCAGAATATAAACCTTCTCGCGGCCATTGATTGTCGCAGGTATTTATTCACCTCCTAGACATAATATCCTAGTTGAAGAATACGACAGCTTCTTCCAAGCCCTTGGCTCGCACAATTGGAATGCCAAAAATAAATGGGGATCACGACTAACTACAACGAAAGGTAGAAATCTACGTTGATCATTACAGAAAAACAGTTGATTCCTCTTATCCACATGACACCTCACGTACTGGCCAGCAGATAACAAAATTCCGGAAAAAAAAGGTTTACCTAGCACGCATTCAAAAATAGAGCCTAGTTTTGACGTGGTTTCGGACCTCTTATATACAACTAACAGCCATTAAGACTATCTAACAATAAAACAAACTGGGAACAATTTGAAAACACCGAACAAAAGAATCTAATAAGCTGGAATTTGCAGTACAAAATCTAATGGCTGTAATACAAAACGCTTCACTCCTATAAGTAAAAAAGCTAATCCTAAAGTCAGCAATGTGCCATTACATATTAAACAAATTCTAACCAAAAAAAGAAGAGCGCGTTCAAACTGGCAAAGGTCACGAAATCCACTCGATAAGATAGACTCATGAACACACCAGCGAACATCAGCGCTAAATTAAGCTCTTAATGACACCTTCAATTTTTATATTAACAATCTCTCTCTCCAGACGACAGCTCTATATGGCGAGCAACTAAAAAATTCAAGAAACCGACCTACCAATTTCTCCAATAAGAAAATCTAGTAAAAGTTGGGCGCAGACTGACAATAGAAAGCTAATGTATTTGGAGAATATTTAGAAAATATATTTACTCCAAATTTAGGTCAAAACATAAATGATGATGTACTTAACGAATATAGAGATGCACCCTGTCAACTATCACCTCCAATAAAAGCATTCACCCCATTCGAGTTTCGCAGAACACGATTTAATCGATGGGAGAATCCTAAAACATCTACCCAGGAAAGCAGTTCCCATGCTTACTATTATTTATAATATAATGCTGCAGTTAAGCCATTTTCCAATCCAGTGGACATATGTTCATATTATAATGATTGAAAAGCCAGGTAAATTGCCTACAACGTTAAGGGATCAACGTTAAGATATCTTTGCGATTTTTATTGATTATGAAAAGGCATTCGATAAAGTATTTCATGACAAGTTAATTAAAATATTAAGAGATAAAGGAGTTGAGACACGTCATATCAGGATCATTTAAAAAATATATTGGCGTTAAGCAGCGCAGCGACCATTTGCATTAATGGGAAATTTACAGAGTGTAAGATTCTAAGGGAAGTCAGGCAAGGTTGTGTGTTGTCCCCAGTGTTGTTTAATTTATATTCAGATAGAATTTTTAAACATACTTTGCACAACTTGGAAATTGGTGTAAAAATTACTAAGAAATTGAAGAAATTGATATTTTCTGTGATGGAAAATTTTGTGAGGATGATCGAGGTGAAAAATGGATTCAGTGCCTTATGTGCAACTTGTAGGCACATATAGATTGTTCTGGTGCAGAAAGAGACGAATATGTGTGTGAATATTGTACATAAAAAATTATAAAATAAAAATAAAAATATTTTTACTAGTAGCCCATATTTATATCACCTTTCCATTTCTTACTTAAATGACACCGTGAGTGTTTTTATCACATTACAGAAAAAAATATCTTACTAGGCAGAAAAGCGGAGTAGCACAAAAGAGCAAAACAATTCTACATGCCAATTATGTAATTTGAACTGTTTCGATAAAAAAATAATCAATATATCAACAATAAACAAATTCTCTATAATACAAATGTAGAATAGAAGGGAACGAGAAATATATTAAAAAGAAAAAACCAAAATGGATAGATACACAAATGCAGAAATTAGACAACAGATAAATACAAAAAAAATTAGAGGAAAACAGTTGAACTGGCACAGACATCTAATGAGAAATAACCAAAACAAATTAACTAAAACGATCATAGAAGCAAAAAAAACAATTAAGAAGAAAAGACAAACCAACGAAAAATGGATATATAAAATAAACGAAATTTAACAGAAAAGAACGAAATACGATTGAAGAAACGAGAGCAATGAATCCAGACAGGAAAAACTGGAAGAAAAGAATAAGTAACAAACAATAAAATATTTACTCGAAAACGAAGTCCTCGTTGTCTTATTACATTTATATGTATTCGTCAGTTTCTGGCTTTTTTTCTCTAGTTGACTTTTTATGAGAGATAAATTTCCATTGTACCTGACCCTAAACATTAGATCTACTCTCCTTTTATTATGGCACAAGTTGAAATTATATTTATAACAGTACTGAACGACATTTGACATAAAATAAACTAAAACACTGTAAAATTACAATAATTTTCTTTCAGATTAACCGTTGTGACCGTTTAACGTGCTGTCAAATATTAATAAATACATTATAATTCTGTAAATTTCTAACAGTCTATATTGATAGTAAAATATTATTTTGTGTGTATATTTTTTATTACCCAGGTCAGTTAATAATGTAAAAGATAAACTAATTCCCTAGATTTTAAAACAAAAATTCCGTCTTAATTTAAAATGCAAATTAGTCGTTTCTATTCTAATCTAAACAAATTTTCTTTTCATTTATTAATATCATACAATTCTCTTTCAGTTCCTACAGTAGTCCATCTTCATCCTATAACGACCTTGAAGAAATCACAAAGAATGATGGTAGTTCATGCAGTTTTAGAGACCTACATCTTCAATCCTCGACTTCGGTTTCAGAAATGGTTATTAACCTGCAAGAACTCAACCTGACGGACCAATCGGAGGTTCCGTTTACGTCACATGACCCCCGTACAATTCGTTCAACAACTTGGCTCAGCGAGGTATTCAGTCTAACGGAGTCCGCGAGGCAGCGCGTGTCGTGCGATAGCGTTTGCAGTGTTAGTGATGTAAACTGTTGTGATATGCAAGTTAGTGCACCGTTAAACACGTCCAGTGCGGCCCAGACAAACGTGCTACACATTCACGCAAACGATAATGGGGTGAATAATACTAGTGTTAATATTAATCAACAAACTGTGTTTCAAAACATTAACGAAACTAACCTAAGTACCGCTAATGTCGTTGGATTACCGAACCATGCAAGATATTCATCTGTCCCCGTGAGTAATATTCAAAGTAGACCTACAAACAATAACAATTTAGTACCGAAACATTCTAGAAATGTGTCGGAACCATCCAACCACTTTTTTAAGTGTCAAAATAATAACATTTTAACTCCACAACCAGGAAGTTCTGTACCGATCCAATACAGACACAGTGCACAACTAGATCATTCAAATGTGCAACAAATTAATAATTTTAGAGGTACTTCAGTGCCCAAAAATGTGCCAATTATTCCTCGACACGACATTACCACAGTAACCACTACCACTACAGCCCCTAGCACTCATGTAAACAATTCAAGACTAACCCAGAAGGTTAATGCACAGGTACCAAACGATATAAGTAATATTAACGTCAATTTTTATAGAGCAGTGCCTGTCAATGTCATTTCTTCAGTACCTACAATTCATTGTTTAAATACTTTGAGCAATGTGCAAGGTAATGAGGTATCTAACGTACAGGTACTTCCTTTGGGAAATCCAACGAACGTAGTAACTAGTAGTTCTTTGGTGGTAGGTACTACCCAAGTGATACTCCATAATACTCAAGCGAGTATTAATAATACCAACGATAGACCTACTTTTGTAAACACATCGACTTCTGTTTTACCATCTCATACATTTTCTACTAGTACTGGTACTAACACTGCATCCCACTTTCCTACTCAGGCTTCTACAAGTCAAGTTTTTATACAGAACCACAGACCTACTAATACTAGTACCGTACCTTTTGTAAACATACAGCCTGTTTTGAGAACAAACGTCCAAGTGGAAAGTAGTACACATAACTCCCAAACAAGACCAGTCAACACTCCTAGAACCTTCACGAGCACCGAAGCTCAAACGGATGAAATATCTATTCTACCAGCAACGAATGAACAAACCACAACTGATAGGGAACAAAGAAGAAAAGAACGAAGGGAAAGAAGGCACCAAAGAAGACTAAATAACAGATATTCCGTGGATAATGGTACTCAAGTTAACAACCAAAATGATCGGTTGCCGGATTTGCTCAGCAACCATCTACCACCCCCTTATTCACCTATCACTAGTGCTTCTGGACCAAACGTCGGATCGGTCAGTCCTATGTCACCGTTGATGACAAATTCCGGAATTTTGCCGCACCCTCACGGTACAGTACTCCAAACGGTTGTTCCTAATAATATAGTGCCTCCCAGTGGATTTGTTTTCCAAGGTCCGCCTCCAGTGGCACAAGTGCCTCTAGTGCAAGGACCGGCGCAAGTGGCAGTTCCTGTGCCGCCTCCTACTGGATTTAGATTCCCGTTTCCTGCTACAGGCTTTAGAAGGTAAGACTTTCACATTTATTTTATTATAATTAATTCGAGAGGTCTCGAAAACTTTGGACTTGAAACTAATTGCAATTTCTCTGTATTGTTTGGCTTTACCTTTCTTCTTATTTTTCTTTTGATCTTGTCTCATTTCTTTCTTATTTCGTGTTTTTTCTTTTCTGCGATTAGCTTTCCTTATGCTCTATAAAAGTCGTCAGTGCTATCTATTTTTTTCAGCCCTTAAATTGTTTTCTGTTCCTTGATAAATGTTTCATTTCTTTTTTTTCTATCGATGCTTCTCTTTCCTTTTCGATCTCGTATATCTGCTGTTCCCAAATTTTACTTGGTCTCCACTTACTTCTTGTCTTTTACTTCAGAAAAACTTTTGTCATACCACCTTTATTGTCTTTCTTCCATAACTGTTATAGGTGTGAGTTCCCGTGATTATTTCGTTTGTTCTTCTGTCTTGTTTTGTCTTCCACTAATATTTCTTAAATAGTTCGTTTCCGTAGCATTTAGTCTACAGTTCTGTTTTGTTATAAATGAGTATAATATAATGTGTATAAATGCTCTGGATGCTCTGCTCCTGGGTAAATGAATTCACTCTCATTTTGTTATGGGTTAGGCGTGCTTATTTGTTTTACGTGGAAGTGGTGTTGGGGTGATAGTCCGCTATCATATGGAGGGTTAGTTCTTGTGGAAATTAACCACAATTTCATTTGTTGTTTTGATTGCCACTTTGTAAATCATTCTTAAAATACAAATTAAAATGACAATAAAAATGAAGTTATAGTTAATTCTCATTAAAGCTAGTAAATTATATTAATTACTCCATTTCCATATATCTTGCATTCATCTTTCTTTTAGAATTCTTCAAAAATGTGCCATCTGACTTCATGTTCCAAATTTGTTTTTTCCTCATGGTCTTCTTAATTAGTTTCTAGTTTCTTATTCTGATCTTGGCATAGTGTTTACTTTCTTCATGATTGTTAGTTGCGATTAGCACTAGGCCACTAGCCTATTCGGTGTGCCTATTTTTGCATATTTTTCAGTTTTAGTATAAGTTTCTAATGCTTTCAGCACTTCTATCTTCTGCTCCATACATATATTTATCGTCCAAATTGTGTGCCAAGTTTTTTTAACTTTGTTTTTTCATTTGGAACTTGGTCATTATTTCTCTATTTCTACTTAAGGTTTCTTCTCCTGAACTACTACCCATTCTTCTGCATTTAAAACTTGGTCATTATTTCTCTATTTCTACTTAAGATTTCTTCTCCTAAACTACTACCCATTCCTGTGTTCTAGTCTCTAAATATTCTTGAATTCCTATCACCATGTTTATTAGTTGTGTATTTGTCTGGTTTTCGTCTATTATTTCTTGTAATGGTTCATTAGATTTGTCAATTACTTTTTCTTCAGTCTACCTTACAGTTATATTGATCTAGTTTTATTCTTCCTTCTGTATTATTTATTAACCAAAAATGGTAAGGCTGTAGGGCCTGACAAGTATTGTTAGGAATTCTTGAGACTTATGGATGAACAGGTAATAACATGGATAACAACTATCCCTCAGAAAAATTACCCAAAGCTGGAACCATAGCAAGAAAATTAAATGCAAAAGCATGGAAAGACTACAGAACAATTAACCTAATAAGCTAATTACTTAAAAGGTTTTTAAAAGTCATACACTGCAGAACATATAAAAATGCGAAGAATAGGTGTCATGTACACATTTGGATTCCGCGATGCCTTAGGTACCTACCTAAGAAGCTCTATTCGCTGTACAAGTACTTATGCAGAAGTATTGAGATGTCAACTGTGACGTTTTCTACCTTATTATAAGAAGTCTTGGACACTAATAACTTCTTTAGGTAAATATCATGAGTGGATAGTGTGACTAATATTGAGGGCCTAGGTAGAATGGGCAAGGAATGCGAGACAACAACAAAGGGCGCAAATTAGATTAGAGTTGCCATATTGTGCGAAATGAACAGAGATATGGCTTGTTGCAACTCATTTTTCAGGGCAAGGTATTTGGAAAGGGAGGACAAGGGTTTTTCTTTGTTTTATTTATTAATATTTCGTCATTTCTTCAACTGGTTCATTCTTTGAAGTTTCATAAGACTATAGTCAAGTTTGTATGTTTGTATTATACGCCATATTCAGTTGTGATTTTAATATCATTTTTTCATCGGTTATAGCTGACTTTGCAATATTTCTTACCATTATTAACATTATTATCATGTTCATCATTGGTAATATTGTTTGAGCAAGCCTTTTCAGGCTTGGTATTACATATTAGTTTTAATCATGAATCTTCATTTTAAATTAGAGTTCTATTTATACAACAGATACAATACATAATTAAGTATATTCTATTTACCAGCCATAGTATATTTAGTATATTAGTCCACTTCTGCTTGACATTGTCTTATTTTAATACCCCTTTTTTCCTACTATTTCTCTAACCTTAATACTTTCTCTCGTAGATAACTTATTTTTTAGTTTTTATTGTATGTGTTGTTTTTGCTCGTTGCCATGTAAACCTCCCTAAGTGCGTCAATTCGTTTCTATTCTTTGCTGTTTGTATCCATTCGTGACTAACTATTCTTCGGATGTCATCAGTCCATCTGGTTTGATGCATGCTTCTGGTTCTCTTGGTAGCCATTTGACAAGTCGCTTCGTCCATCTGTTCTCTTCTTTTCCACTACGTGACCACCCTAGTTCTACGTACGTGAACCGACCAGTTCCATTTCAACGTAGCAATTTTTTGGATTGCGTCTCTTACCTTTAAGTTGTCGCTTCTTATTTCGTCATTAGGAATACGATAGCTGAGTTTAATAATGAAAATTTTACATTCCGTAGCTTTTGAGTTACTTGCAGTTTGTAAATTATTCTGGTGTTCAATCCAATGATGGTTTTTTATTTTGTTGATTTTTGTGATTTTTCATTCTACTTGCCTTCCTGCTTTTGACATATCCGCTCCAATGTATGTATCCTATTATTTTAGTTTTTAATAATATTACTATTATTTAAATAAGTATAATTTATTATTTTAGTATATATTTAAATGTGACTCTTCAGTTAAACCTATTGCAGGGAAATAAATATTCCAGAGAATTGTCAGCTTGTTTGTTTATGTTTGTTGATATGTTCACTGTCAACATCTGTTAAGAAGATAATAAATCAGTCAAGTGTGTATAATAAACAAATATGGCAAATGTAGCTACTGGTTGTCTACGTTGTTACAAAACTGTAAACATTTAGAAACTATAATTTTACCAGTGATATGTTTATATACAATGGAAACCTTTTTCATTCTAATATTATACACCTTTGGTATATATACAACAGTTAGATTATGTGGAATATTAAGGAATAAGTGGGACTTGTCTTAAGAAATAAAGTTTCAAATCACCTTACACTGAAATATCACTATCAATTTCTCTAAGCGTTTCCCACCAGGTTTTCAAAAGCCATTCAGAATTAAGCAAATATTTGCATTGGATGAATCATCATTTTGAAGTTGAACGTGACCTAACCATCTTAACCTATCCTCTCTTGTTTTAGCATTAATTGGTGCCACAAAGGTTTCTGATAAAATACCTATTCCTAATTTTGTCTTCATATCATTCAGTTCCGTACATCGTAGCTGGTCTCATGGCAGTTTTATAGATTTTTTTTCTATTCCATCCGTTTCACTCTAACTATACTGTAGGCAAATCCATTTTGATCACCGGTGACTTTGAAATACCGGTCCTAGATGCTTAAAATTTACTTTTTAAAATAATTTCACCATACAAAGATATTATTTTGTTTAATTCCATATTAAACGAACCTATTCGCCAACTTGTTCTTGTCTCTCCTAAATCTGTCCAAATTTCTCCAAGGATATTGTCCAAGGATCTAGTCCAACTGCTTTACCTTTCTCTATTTTTTTTTAAGTTCCTGAAAAGTTATTCGTTTATTTTTTTGTTTGGTAACCATTTTTGTTACTGTCTTTAATGCAAAATTCATTTTTTAAATTTATCTATGATTCTGTTTATGTTTTTCCCTGTTTAAACGTAATTTAAATTTATTTTTGGCAAGCCAATACTTGTTTCGTTTATTTTTTTTGGACCTTTATTTATCTATTGGGCACATCATCATCAGTCAGTCCTGATTTATCCACTGTCAAATATAGGCCTCCTCTAGATATTTCCATCTATTTCTGTTCTTCACCTCTGCTATTCAATTAGTCACAATTTTATTGAGGTCGTCGGCCCATCGTCTTTCCCGACTTCGCTTGTCTACCAATGGTCTCTACTCGCCCAGTTTTTCTGTCCACCTGTGTTCTTTCATTCTTGCAACATGTCCCGCGCATCTTCATTTTTACCTTGTAGTCTATTCGATAATATCTTTCATTGCGGTTCGTCTACGAACTTTCCTGTTTTTTAATTTAGTTTTTAAACTTATCCAAGCCTTGATTTCTCCATTTTACGTTGTGTCCTTTTCAATTTTTTCTCTGATGTTTTTGTTAGAGTTAAGGTTTCTGTTCCGCATATATGTGGACTAGTTGAAAGATTTCCTTTTTAAATAGATTGTAATATTTATTTTAAACAAGGCTCTTATTTCTCTGAATGCAGCCCAACCTAAACCTACTCTTCTGATTAGCTCATATGTTTGGTTGTCTGGCTTTAATCTTATTTCGTGGCCCAAATACAAATATCTTTCCACAACTTCTATGGGCGATTTCTCGATTTCTATTAGCCCATTACGGGCGAAATTTGTTTTTGTATAGTTTATCTTTAAACTCTCTCTTTCTCTCTAATACTTGCTCTAGTTGTAGCATAACACTGGCGTCTCTTAAGTCGTCCGTTATGAGAACAATGTTATCGGAATATCAGAAGATTATTTTAATTTCTGTCCATCGATGGTAATATCTTTTGAGTCCTACTCTAATCGTTTAAATACTTACTCCATAACTGCTATAAATAGTTTTGACGACAAACTATTTCCCTGTCCCACCTCACTGCCAATTTT